ACAGGCAGCCATCTTTGATTTTGATATTGAAAGTTTGTTATCGCTATTTCTCGGGAAGTACGGGAGGGATCTTTCTCAAATTTTAAATGTAGGTTCCCCTTGATCCCTCGTTGTGTATGTTGAGACTGATCCTATCATAAAAACAAAATGGATTAAAAGAAGAACTAAACAGTTCTTTCTCATATTGCAATGATCGATTCTATTTCTTTCACATTAAGTACTGTGCTAGTAAATATGTGAAATGTCAAACTCACTTTGAAGGTTAGATCAAAAGTGACCTCAAGGTGCATTTACTGTTAACATGACTCGATCAAACAGATTAGAGGAAAGAAGAGAAAAGATCGAACTGACAAAGAACTAATGAAGATGGTACAAAGGTGGGCGCCAAGATCCCTCTGGGATCTCTTGTTTTAATAAATGGAGGGTGTGGTTCTTCTGGAGGGCAGAGGGTTGGGGTCCTTTAGGGTAACATATGGATACATATTTAAAATCCTTCTTCTTATGTATGAACGAATGGATTTGAACCAAATTTTGTGTATAGCTATCTTAATTCGACAAAAGTGGCTCAATTTTGTATAAATGGAAGGCATTGAACCCTGGGGGCTGAGAGATAGGGCCAATATGCTTAAAGTGACTTCTTTTCTCGAACAAAGTGATGGGTATCAACCATATTTAGTTTTGAGAATTCTTCGGTGGTTGAGGATTCAAAATTTTATCATTTGAAGAGCTGACCCCTGATCTGAGGAGTGGGGCCAAATAAAATTTTAACTTCTACATTATTGAGATCCACACCCTATAACCATGTAAACAATTGCTCAGCATCAAGTGACAAACACAATCATAACAAAATAATTGACTATAGGGTCTGGCCCCACCCCTAGGGACTTGGTTTCTGAGCCATAACTTTCAAACAGTTGGGATCTCCACCTCATAACCATATATATTATTGCAACGAACATAATCATGATAAAAGAATTGTCTCTGTGGTTTGGCTCCATCCCTAGCTATTGGAACTTAGTTCTAGGCCATAACTTTGAATCGGTTTATATCCCTAAATAAAAGGCATACAGATATAAACACTGTTATGATATTGATAATTGACTGATGAGTCTAGCCCCGCCCCTAATAAATTAATTCCTCAGCTCTAACTTTTTTAACCAGTTGAGATCCCATAACCATACATTTCATTGTTGGGTATCAAGAGACAAACACAGTAATGATATTGATATTTATCCTTAGGTCTGGCCCAAATCCCAGGAACTTAATTTTTGGGCCATAACTTTTAAACGATGGAGATAACTAAATATTGACCCTAACGTTTTTCTTCTTCTCTTGTGTGTGTTTCAGTTCTTTCCATGAGATGAGAAGAAAGAATTGTTTGCTCCACTTCATTAGATCAAGATGCGATATTGGTTTATTTGCAATTAAATTTTGTGAGGAGAAAACTACACGGATGGAAATTGCTATGTAGCACTTCTTAAATAAAGGAAAACTCAGACAAATAATTTTCAAGACAATATGGAAGCGTGTGATTTCTGCGATAAAGAGTTTTGTAACACTGCCCTGCTAAAGGAACATTTTAAGACACATATAAGCATTGTACAAAGCATGGAAGCATGTGATATATGTGGTATGAATTTAAGTGATTCCTCTCAGCTCAGGGAACATATGCAGACACACACAGGGGAGAAACAAAACATTGAAACCTGTGATTTATGTGGTAATGATTTTAGTGACTTCTCTCAGCTAAAGGAACACATCAAGACACATAGAGAGGATGAACCAGACATAGAATCGTGTGATGTCTGCTATAGAACGTTCACCGACTTCTCTCAGCTAAAGGTACACATTAAGACACACATAGACAAGGAACTAAACACGCAAAAAAGTGATGAAAATCATAAGGAATTCAGCTACTCGTCTCAGCAAGAGGAACATAGCGAGAAAAATGGAGGTGAGGAAATAATGATGGATTCAGGTAATGCAAGTGATGTAGAGCCAATTATCTTCTTTCTGCTAAAGGAACAGAATGAAACAGATACAACGAAAAATATAGACAATTTCAGGTGCCAAATCTGTGACCAAGGGTTTAGAAGAATAAGTGATATGCAAACACACATTGCGATGCATACAGGAGAGATAACAGTCACATGCGATGTCTGTGGTATAAAATGTAGTTCCGTTCAAAGCCTAACGAAACACCTCAAAAAGCATAAGTTAATTAGTTCACCGAAGAAGCAGAACGTGTGTAAGTACTGTGGTAAGGAATTTAAGCTTGGACTAAGCCTACAAAGACATCTTCAGACACATAAAGCTGGGCTTTCACCAACATATGATGTGTCTAGTCAGGGTTGGGATTCAACATCTGGGCCACAAAATAATTTGAAACGACAAGAAATCATGTCATACAAATGTGTTGTCTGTGACCAAGAGTTTCCACTCTTAACCGATTTTCAAAAGCACATCTTGACGCATGAAGGTTGTGGCAGGGATTTTGTTCAGGCTACTTTTCATCAAAAACATGCGAGTTATGTGTGCGATATTTGTGGTGAACACTTTTCAAAGATGTTAGAACTATCTGCACATTTACGGACACACAGGAGGAAAAAGTCATATCAGTGTGGTATCTGCGGTATGGAGTGTGCACAGAGCTGTCACTTGTCAACACATGTCAGAACACATACAGGCGTGAAACCGTATCATTGTGATATCTGTGGCAAGGAATTTTCGCAGAACAGTAATCTGCTTACGCATAAAAAATTACATACAGGAGTGAAAAAATATGATTGTGATATCTGTGGAAAAGAGTTTTCGCAGAAAGTTAATCTTCTTAAACACAGCAAAAAACATACAGAAGTGAAACCATACACATGTGATATCTGTGGTAAGGAGTTTTCCCAGAGAGATGATTTCCATACACACAGCCAAACACATACAGAAGTAAAACCTTACAAATGTGATATCTGTGGTAAGGAGTTTTCTCGGAAAAGCAAACTTGTTGTACATGTCAGAATACATACAGGTGTACATGTGAAACCACATCAGTGTAAAATCTGTGGTAAGTTGTTTTCGCTGAAATGTAATCTAATTACACACAGCAAAACACATACAAGAGTGAAACTATTTAAATGTGGTATCTGTAGTAAAGAATATTCGGGGAAATATTATCTTCTAAAACATGTCAAAAAACATAAAGATGAAAAACCAAACACAAAACTCGGAGAGATATCCAACAAAGTGAAAAATTCAAGAAGGAAACAAAACCTGGAAACTCGTGATGAAAAGTTCTTCGACTCTGATCACCTTAAGGTACATATCGGACTATATTCAAGTAGGAAACCGAACTCAAGAAAGTGTGATGTTTCTGATCAAGACTTCAGTGATGTAAGTGTGAAACCATATCAGTGTGATATCTATGATAAGACGTTTTCGCAGAAAAGTGATCTTCTTAACCACAGCAAAACACATACAGAAGTGAAACCATACACATGTGATATCTGTGGAATGGAATTTTCACAGAGAGATGATTTCCATACACACAGCCGAACACATACCGAAGTAAAACCATACAAATGTGATAACTGTGGTAAGGAGTTTTCTCGGAAAAGCAAACTTGTTGTACATGTCAGAATACATACAGGTGTACATGTGAAACCTCATCAGTGTAAAA